ACAGAATTCAAGGTGGATGGAAAGAATAAGAGAACTGGGTACTTCTCCAAAGCAGTGTCAAGGCTGGCCTAGAACCAAGACTCGTGATTTCGCCATCAGCCTTTCTGTATCGTGGAAAGTACTTTCTGCCATGACCGTTCCAGTCCAATTCCCACTACATCTCACTTGTAACTCTGTAGCAACTTATGTGCTAAGACTTAACTTCCAGAGTCTCTGAAGAACTTCAAAGTTTTATTAGAACCACCTGAATTGGTGAAAACCCACCCTAGACATATGTGAACCAAAGTGCTGGGGTGAGGGTGGGGGGGTCGGGGGGTGGGGCCCTGGTACCTGAATTTGTAATCAGAAAATCCCACTCCAAGTTTCTTATAAACACTAGAGTTTGAGAACACTGCTCTACTGGACTGAAGTTTGAAGATAGAACTATTGATTTCTTCTGAAGAAACCCTCTTTTGCCCTTTGAAGGTGATCACTTCTCAACTTCTCACTCTTATATGCCTCTTCTGGGCTCATTCCAGGGTGACTGATGAAAAACAGCCTTAAACATCTGCCTTGGGGTGGATGGGAACCCTGAACTGGGAAAGAGGAGGTTGGGAAAGCCCACTTTTAATCCTATGTTGATGTGGTTCTGATACTTCCTGACCATTTCCCCAGACAACTGTAAAATCCTGCCTTTTTTTTTTTTTGCAGAAAATATTAAAAGCTCATTACAGTCCTACCATACCTCTCTGAGCTGAATGCTACCAGCCACACCATCCACAGTTCATCCAGAGCATTTTAAGAGCTAATCAGGACGTGATAAGACAAATGGATTAGATGTTGGAACTGGATTCTTTTGGTTTGGCTTCTAAACCCACTCGCTGTGTATTCTTGAGAGGACTTCACTTTCTCTCATTTAAAAATAAGAAATTAAAGTGGATTTGTGTTTGGAATTTTCAGACACACCATAGAAAAAAAAAATACATTTACACTGGAGGCCCTGGATGGCTCAGTCTGCTAAGCATCTGACTCTTGACTTCGACTCAGATCATGATCTCACAATTTGTTAGTTCAAGCCCTGCATGGGTTCTGCACTGACAGTGGGGAGCCTGCTCAGGATTCTCTCTTTCTTCTTCTCTCTCTCTGCCCCTCTCCTGCTCAGTCGCTCTCTCTCTTTCTCAAAATAAATAAAAAACCTAAAAAAAACCATGCAAAAATACATTTACATTAATTGTGCACACACACGGATATTACAAACAGATTTCATGAGGGAACACCAAACTTTGTATAATAAGCTGATACTTTCTAGTCTATTCTTTTCTATTCCATACTTTGAGCAAATTTCATGACTGACTAATGAGTCATGAATGTTTTAGTGTTTGAAAAACATTGGAATAAGTGTTATATGGGTTTTTGTCTAATGTGAAAGTAGAAAATGAATCAAGTGCATTTGTCTGTTCTCTTGTCCCCTCTTGGTAGGATTATATTAATGCATATGCAGTAGATACTAATATAATATAAAATTGCAATTTGAATTAGTAAAGTTAGCTAATCAACTACATTCTTTCAAGATTCACATATCTTGTACTTTAACAAAACATTTAAAACAGTCTCACAATCAGCCACTAAGAAATTCTTCAGAATTTCTACCTATAAACATTTTACTTGTTCCTTTTTTTCTTTGTACTTCCCAGGCACATCTGGATGCAGGCAGAAACAGTGATGAGGGAGGGAGTCAAAGTAATAACCAGAAACTGATCTCTTTCCTTCCAAACACATATTTAGGGGCTGACATCATAGCCCCGTGGCATGAAATACAGATGGAAAAGGAACTGGATTCAAGTCAGGAAATTTAACCTTTATCAGATAAAGACAGGAAAGCCTTCAGCAGAGAAACTCACACCTGCTGTGAACTAGAAATCACCAGCCGAATATTGTCATTATTGCTCCGAAAATAACTTCGGCTAGAGCAATAAAATAGGACGAGGGCCAGTGATTAAGCCTCCACTGATGCTTTTTCCTGATACTGTTTTCTTCTACGGTAAATACAACAAATCAGACAACTGAAAAGAAGGCATCCCAACACCTCCTAGTTGCAGGTGGGCAGCTCCCTGGGACTCGGGCTGCCTGGAGGGTGAGCCCACTGGCTAACCAGCAGGGGCCCCACATCAGCCTCCTGTGCCCAGCCCCTCTCTGAGCAGTCCTGCGGGGCCACCCTCAACAATTCATGACAGCCAATCACTCACATCCTGCCATATGGGAACCTGAGACAGGCTCTAAAGTGGTAAGTTGAGTCTGCCATATGGCTTCCTGGGTCCGTCGTCTGATTGCTGTTTAGAATATCTGACTGTGTTAGTCAGACCGATGAGTTCATCCAGTCAAAGGCAGGAGCACAGGGGCCAGCCGGGCTTGGCGAAGGACGGAAAGCAAACACTCCCTTGTCTGTGATTTCAGCCCTGTCTGGGCCAAACAGAGGCCAAAGTAATGATTATCACACGGGGAGGCAGATCGAAGAGTCTTTTGAGTTTGCCATGTCAGGGTCCCTTTCTCATTTTGTCAAATCTTTGTTTTCTTGTGTTGTCTTTCTTTGTTAGTTTCTTTTCCTCTCCAGTTTGCTTTTTTTCCCCCTTTTTCTCAACTTTCTTTTATTTTACTGGTCTCTTATCTCTCTGAAAACCTTTTTTAAATTAAGGTCTAGCTTCAATAGCCTTCCTGCCAGATTATTTTGATCACTCTTGGTTCTTATTGCACTTGCTGTTACCCTATAAGCAAGTGTGGCTATGTCTTACTTTGCATATCGTTACAAAGATTTCCATGGTATTTTCAGGAGGCCCCAACAGCATTGTATGTTATCTAAGACACAGCTAGTTTATTCATGCAGCAAATTAGACTTGTGTTCACAGTTGATCACAGCCAGGAGACATCACAAAGATGATCAAATCCAATCCCTTAATTTTACAGATGAGAAAACTGTGGCCCAAAGAATTCAAGTGGCTTGCTCCCAATCCTAACCTAATATTCAGTGTGGTTTGGGCCAAATGTATGAGACAGATAAAACTACAGACGTATGGAAAATTGTGTGCACCCTGTAATTTCTTAAAAAGCCAATTTTGGTCAATGGATGCTAAACCCTCGGACAAAGTCCAGTGAATATATCAATTGCGTAACATAACCTATTGTAATTGCTGGGGATTCAACTCCCCTGCTCTCGAGCTGTATAATAAACTGTCTCCGAGAAAGGGGCCCTCAGGACAGAAGGGTGTATGATTCACTCACACTCAGGTTTCTGGAGAAATCTAAAGCCATACTACCAAAACACAGAACTTGAACTACCAGAGAACAGCAGTTTTGCATGGAATACAGAATAGTGGCCAGCCACTCTGAAAAGAAATAACTGAGAAATTGGGAAGGGATTCTGAGTGAATGTTTTTTAAAAAAAAATATTTATTCATTCATTCATTTATTTATTTATGAGGGTGGGGATTTTAAAAGATAAGCACCTAAAGATCTCTGGAGGCAAGTCTATGTTACAGGGAGCATATCCTGCACAGGAAAAGCTTCCAGTACTTTCTCAAAAGAACATCAGTGAATCACATCATGCTGTTGGGGCAGCTCAGAGGCTGTGGGATGCATGAGAAGCTCAGCCACCAAATGTATATTCTAGAGCTACACTGGATGGCATTTTTGTCCAGTAAATATCTTTCTAAATATGACGCCAAAGACCAGACTCTCTAAAAGGGCACACATCCCATGTGGGAACATGAGCCTAATAAAACATGATACCCTCATGAATTCCTTGTGCGTTTGGGGCTGGGGGCATCTCTGGCTTACAAACTACCTCAAAGACCCTGCTTGCAGAAGATGTTTATTTCCCACACTGCACTTGCAAAGAGCAAAGTTAGGATGAGAATTAAATAACAGGAAAAATAATAAAAGAGATAAATGCTAAAAAGGTTCATTTTTATTAAGTCAAATTTAGAAATCCATTTTTGTTAAGAAATGTTCCATTTCCTGCCATAGGGTTTCATGTTGTGGTCTTTTATTCTTTTTTTTTTTTTTTTTTTTTTTT